AACATTTTTAAACCCATGACTGAACATAATAAAATTATTAAAATATATTTGTTTAATAATTAAAAATAATACTTCAAATCCTTTATAGATTTGCATTGTCAATACATACATGTAATGACATTTTTTTGCATCCAATATAGATTTGAGCTCAATACCGTGCTGATAATTTTGAAATATTTTTTTTATTATTATTCTTAAAATTGTGCTTTATACCTGTAGTTGTTATAATTTTGACTTGCTATTTTATAATATTGTGAATATTTTATGTTATATATGTATTTTGTCCTTCTTAAAATAATATTGTTGATGTAATTTTTTTTTATCTTTAATATATATTAAAATAGACTTTTTGAAGAAAAAAAGTAGTGAAACGGCCACTATAAGTTGCTGTCCACAAAGAATTTAGTATGAGCTATATTTTAAAGGTTTAAATTATTTTGTACCGTTTTAACTTGACTTGCATTAATCGGCTACTCAATGTGCCCAACTCGAATTGATAATTCTAGCATTTATTTTTTTTATAAATTGTAATAAAAATATTTGTATTATTTTTTATATGTAATTTGTTATAAAAGTGTTACATAATTATTCACAACAAAATAAAATATTTTTAATAAAATATTCATGTATTACATTAACTACTGATTAATAGAAGTAATAAAAGAGTTATTAATATATTCTTTTAAATATATCTTGGAAAGGTGAAAGTAATTTTAAAAAAATTATGAATAAGTACTCTAACTTTTTTTTAAAAATCAACAATAAAAAATTGTAAAAATTATATTATTAATATTTCCTAAAATTAATTAAGAAGTTTATCATATATAAATTTGAGTAAAATACATATATCGAAATATTGAAGGCAGAATATCGTTATCGAGTGCAATAGTAATGGTTGTTTCCCCGATTTGGATTCGCAAAGCAGCTCAACGGCCACAAAACATGATAAAAAGTAGATGGGACAATTCATACTAAGTAACTTTCGAAATTTATGATAACCCTTTCATCCTCGAAACTTGGAGTAACAAAACGACACAAATATTGAAGTTGATTAAAGTTCTAAGTGTCAAATTTACTGATAAAAGTTGATACATTTTACCTGCTTTCTAAAATAACAGTATCTTTTATCCTTTTATTTATATATATATAATAATTATTATTATGACAATTAATTTTATATTAATAAATAATAAATTTAGTAGTTTATTTTTAAAAATATAAATATTTTTTAATTTTTAAAATATTAAAAAAAATCATGACCCTCAACTTAGATAAAATCTATAATGTTTCTTTAATTTTAATAGTACTCTAACAAATAAAAAAATAAAAAAAATAAATTTAACTGTTATATGTTAAATTAGACATATGTTACCTGTAAACTGAAAAAAACAAAAAACAAAAAATACTACATTACGCAAACAATTAATTATTTCGTTAACACTGAATTTTAAATAATTTTAAAAATACGTTTAATATTTTATAACTTTTAATAATAGTAACAACAATAACGTTCAGTGACATTTCTAAAATCTTACAATAGCAAAATAAAAATAATAAATTTTATAGGTAATGTTTATTTTCCTTTTTAAAATATTTTTATATGATATAGAAGATATATATTTGCATACAAGATCATATAATTAAAAAAATTAAATTAAAACGGAAAGGTTTTGTAGGTAAGAACGTAAAAGTTCAATGGAAAAATAATAGCTTTCACGTGATACAAAATTTTTACGGTGTAATATTTACAAATATGCATGCATTTTTTAGTTCTATGTGTAATTTAAAATACATTTGTTTGAAAAATTTGGAGCCTTGGTATTTATAATTTTAGGTATACATAACTAAGGATAATTTGGGTTAGCTTTTTGGCAAAAACATTTTAATTGAGATATATAATTGATTCTTATTTTATAAGAAAAAGTCTTTAAATGTGTTTGAGTAAATAATTTAATTAAACATATTTATTTGATATATTCTTATTAAATTAAAATTGATGACATAGGTTTGATCATAAAATTTATTCAATAAAAAAATATTTGGACAAATCATATGCTATTTTTTTTATAAACTCTTTAAATATATCTTCAAAATATGGGTGTTCATAATAAAAATTGAGGCGCAAAAATTAATTTTAATTTATATAAAAAATTGATCAATTTTATCATTGCAATTTCATTTTCCTCCAAACTGACTCTAAGTAGCTAGCAATGTAACACACTTTCCCTTTTTCATCTCCCCAATTTACTTTTGCAATAAAGTAAAAGCATGAATATATTTTTTATTTCTATGCTTATTTTATTTTATTGAGTTTTAGTTCTTAATTTTTTTAAACTCAACGCTTATAAAACTTATATGTTACACAAAAATTGATACATAACAATTAATTGTAATTAACTATTAGAGATAAAAGCGCTGACTTTTTAAAAAAAAAAATAGAAGTTAAATAAAAAAAAGGGAGTGACAACTAAAATAAAAGAACTCAAAAAAATACACAAATCAAAAACATATTATGCCTAAAATAAACCTCTCGTCCCAATGCATTTCTCCTCAAATTTTATTTTAGAAACGGTTTTGTTATAGTTATGTATTGTTGGGTTGTTTTATTTACTTTTGTGGGTAAGTTAGGAAAGCTAACAAAGTAGGAAGAAAAATCAACTGTAAAAACATCTTTACAGTGAGAGATCAATTATAAAAGATAACAAGATACATGTGTCATGACCAGAGTTTGAATTCTGTGTTTACAAATTCTCACATACTCTTCCTCCAATTCCCAACCCCTCTTTCCCAATAAAAAAGTCTTAAAGTGCAATACCCACAAAACACAAAATATTACCATATATTAATAGCAGAAAATGCTAGCATTATATCTATTAGTATATTTATTTTGAAAAATTAATCTGTCAACGATCACCCAATCACTACTATTCAAAGGCCTATGAATTTTTTTTTAATATAAACACTAGAAGTTTACACAATCAATTTGGCACATTATATTAACAATTATGATGTATTATGTTATTAATGTAAAACAATAATATTTATACTAATAATTTAACTTATATTAAATAAAAATTATATTTTTGTAGAAACTAATCTAATGTTAAACTATTAGTATATAATTTAATATAAACTGGCATGCCACATTCAGCATGACAAGATTTAAGTTGTTAATTAAGGTTTGTCTCATCAGATGTGGAAGCACTTGGGTATTTTGTGAGTGTATGGCCACACCTAATTACCACCATCGAAGTTGTCATTTTCATTCGTCTATGTATCCAACCATTTCATGCGGGCGGGCATTCACAAATACTAAGTGACATTCCATCATATATCAATTCAAATTTATTTTCTCTTTCTGGGAAAAACAAATTAATATCATTTTCAGTTAAATCACCACCATAACGCAATCGAAAAAATCCTTGGACCAGCCGAAGTGGGTCGTCACAATTTTGTTGCATTTCAGAATCTAATCTAACGCACCATTCCACTGAGACCAATCGTGATGAAATCACTGAAAATGTTTGATTAATCATTGTGAGTATATGAGCTCACTCACAACTCCATTCATCTATAATGGCAGGCGCAACATGTATCATTTCATGTAAAGGAGCTTTCAAGCGACTGTAGAATAGTGGAAGGCATTTCAATCAGCATCCATGTTTGATAAATCATAATCCAAGTCAGTTCAGTCCACAATTTTTTCCTAGACAAATTATTAAGTGTTAGAGTAAATAGGGGTGAATCAGAATTTTTGATTCAAGGACGTGTCAAGACTAAATAACATATGATTTATAAGTAAAGGATATTATAATGTATAAAACAAATTTTAGTATAACCAATATAATATGCATAAGCTATTTTAATATATCTGTAGTTAAACTGTCAAACATATATAAACAAATAGACCTTCATTTTTTAAGTTATGCTCGTCGTTGTTATATAGAATAAATTTCATCCATCAGAATAAAGCCTACACTAATTGTGCATGGAAAGTTACTATCCGGCAGCACAAAGCATAGGGGGAAAATAAAAAGAAAACCACAATTGTGCAGCCAAAAATGGAGCGACCTAAAACTCAAGAAGTGATTTCGTTTTTCTTTTTCGATAAGGAACCATGTAAGCAAGTAAAATGGGGATTCGGATATATAGTACCGGGCCATTCTCTTAATAAAGACTACAGAGAAAAGGGTAATTAATGTGAATGAAAAACGTTGCAAGGAATCAAACAAACATGAGAATGGTCTCGATAGAAATTAAAAAGTTAAAAAAGATATTTGTAATTACGTTTTTTCCTTAACATCACCAACAAAATGTTCACCTTTCACATACAATTAATAAATATACAAAATTAATAACAAATGGGATGCTACAAATGATTTTTATATAATAATATCAAGAAAGGGTTAAAAATGTGGAAATAATAATCGAATTAGTTGGTTACTTCACTCTGTCCTTAGGTATAAATGAATCAAGTTAAGCTAAGTCAAGTACTTAAAATTTAAACATGTGTAGAACAAATGAGTAACCCTTTTTCTTGGTCCAATTCATTTGCTTATAGAATTATGCACATAAAGCATAAATATAAATAATTTATACAATCTAGCTCAAGTCAGGTATGAATTAGATTTTTTAGCAGGACAGATGACTTTCACTAAGAGGAGTTAAACTGGAATATTTACACACTTTGGATCTAAATATTTACTTGCTTTTACAAGTAAACTTGACGTAATGTTCTTTTAATTAAGAAAAAAATAGTTGTTCTCTTATTTGGCACCCTCATAAGATTGTCTCCTAGTACATAGAATCTTCCAGCTTTTGCAATAGCATCCCTTCCAAAGATTCTCTTCGTTTAAATATTTTACAAAACAAAGCATCTTGACTTCTGTAACACTGTCGTCATACCCTTTTATATAACATTATGTTATATCTGAACCATTACTGACGACCATAGTACTTGTTTTTCCTTCATCGCCATTGTTTTAGAGCAACAAGAAAACATGCTGAATCTTTCAAAAGACAAGATAATACTATTCGTAGTGCACAACTATTATGACATAATCGTGGTCGCTTTACTCTCTATAGGAGTAACATATTTCGCTTCAAAAGCTTGGAAAAGAGCAACAAATAAGAGAGAAGATATCCCTGGCCGGCTGGGATTGCCTTTTATTGGGGAAACTTTTTCTTTTCTTTCAGCCACTAATAGTACAAGGGGATGCTATGATTTTGTCAGACTTAGGCGATTGTGGTATGTGACTACTTACTTTCATCTTGATACATATATAAGTATAGATTCAAAGTGCTTTTGTTTCCAAGTAGAATCTATCCTTAGAGTATAGACTTGATCAAATCATGTTTGTTGTGGCCACACATACTGTTATTGTCTGCTTTTAATCCTGAAGAGAACATTTTAAGATTCATAACAGATACACGGACAAAGATCTGGACTAGAGACTGATCCTTGTCGTCTTGTACCTAAGCTGAACTTTGCTTTCAATTCATCTCAAGGCTTTAACAAGTTGTGGACATGGAAAGTAAGGGCTAATAGTTCATGGCAAGGCATTGCTACATGTCCAAGATTTTCATTTCATCATGTTATACAGGTCATAAATATCAAATTTATTTGACCAAAAAAAAATATTATCAAGTTTATTAATCGATTGAATTTTTCTGGGCATAGAACGGAGTCAATTGAACAAGATTTACTTTTTCTAATGTGAGGAGATAGACTTCCGATGATAAAGTGCAATTATAAACGTTTAGACTATGAGGAAATATATATAAATATATAATAAATTATGAAGTTGTTAAAATATCATTTATTGAATTTTTTTAATCAATAGGTACAACTACACTTTATCTTCTAATGCGCTTCCTTAATAAGAGTTTACCAATTGAATTTTTATTTTGGTTTAAATTTTTAACAATATAATAAATTTGATTATGGTTTGCATGATTTTTATACATAAATAATCATAAGCAGATTCTTTAGAGTAAAATAAAATTTATTTTAAAGATCCATTAAATTCTAGTACACCGAAATAAATGTAACCTTGAGTCAATAGAAAGTATAGAGCATATGTAACTTGTTAATTTTATTGAAGTAGGAATGGGAGATGGTTCAAGACAAGGCTTTTCGGCAAGATTCACATATTTATTCCCAGTCCTGAAGGCGCAAGGACGATATTTGCAAATGACTTTGTTCAATTCAACAAGGGTTACGTAAAATCAATGGCAGATGCCGTGGGAGAGAAAAGCTTGCTATGTGTACCCGTTGAAAGCCACAGAAGAATAAGGCGTCTTCTATCTGAACCATTCTCCATGACTTCCCTATCTGCATTTGCAACAAAATTTGACAAAATATTGTGCGGAAGGCTGCAAAAGCTAGAAGAAAGTGGGAAAAGTTTCAAGGTGCTGGACTTCTGTATGAAGGTAAAACTGAAGCTTTCTACTCTTTTGTATTAGCAAGTATGATGAGTGGTGACAATAAATCTCTTTAAGGTTATCTGAGTAGTGAAAATCCTTCCCTTATGGTTCAAGGTAATTTTATTTCCCAGAGAAAACTAACAAGTAAATTTGATCTTCAGAAAGCGCCTAATTGTTGCAACATTTAGATAGTAACTCAATTTATCTTACCAACATAATTTAACGCTATGATATATGATTCCAATCTCATGTTAATTGTACTCCGAATCTACGATGGACTCTGCTCCTAACACTCATTAAATGTTTTGACATGTAAAGATGACATTTGATGCAATGTGTGATATGCTGATAAGCGTCAGGGAGGATTCACTACTACAACAGATCGAGAAAGACTGCACCGCCGTCTCTGATGCCATGTTATCCTTTCCTATCATGATTCCTGGCACCAGATACTATAAAGGCATAACGGTGAGTTTAACTAAAATAAAATCTAACTGGGTAACTTACACACCTTTTATGAGTACAGAGTAGTTTAACTAAAATAAGAAAATTAAAAGTATTTTTTCCCCTGAAACATTATTATGGTTGAACTAAAACCAATAGCTAAAGCAGGCTCGTAAAAGGCTCATGGAGACCTTCACAGAAATCATTGCACGACGGAGGAGGGGAGATGAGTCTCCAGGAGACTTCCTGCAATCAATGTTGCAGAGAGACTCGTTCCCAGCCAGTGAAAAGCTTGATGACTCGGAGATTATGGATAATCTGCTAACATTGATAATTGCTGGACAGACCACCACAGCAGCAGCTATGATGTGGAGTGTTAAGTTTCTAAATGACAACAGAGAAGCACAGGACACACTCAGGGTGGGTACTAGTTATGTGAGGCAATTTGGTTATATAAAATCACGTTCTCACTTGCACGATAAGATAAAATGACTAGTGTGCATCTTGACTTAACAGGAAGAACAATTATCTATAACCAAAATGAAGCCAGATGGAGCTGCAATTGATCATGAGGATCTCAGCAACATGCGTTATGGTTTGAAGGTTAGAGTTTAGACTTAAGAAGTGCTGCACAACCTATAAACAATTACATGTCTCTAAACTGGAAGCCCCTACGACAAAATTTCTCAAATGTAATCAATCCTTGACCTATCCAGGTAGTTAAGGAAACATTGAGAATGTCCAATGTCCTGTTATGGTTTCCTCGTGTTGCCCTTCAAGACTGCACGATTGAAGGTGAGTTACTCAACTCCTTTGAAGTTATCAATACAATTATGTTCACTAAATTTACCAATAACTACAGAAGGGCTTTTATCATCAGTCTTTCTGGCCTTCATGATTATGTTACCAATTATAAGGATGGCCATAACAGGGTATGATATAAAGAAAGGTTGGCATGTAAACATTGATGCAACTTATATACATCACGATTCAGATTTGTACAACAATCCATTGAAATTCAACCCACAGAGATTTGATGTACTTATCTTTCTCTCTATTATGGCTCTTTCTTTTTCTTGACTGTTTTCTACCACCTCCTCATGTCAAGAAATTATTTTATGTGATCATATCTGCAGGAAATGCAAAAGCCGTACAGTTTCATACCTTTTGGATCGGGGCCTAGAACATGCCTTGGAATCAATATGGCAAAAGTGACAATGTTGGTCTTTTTACACAGACTCACTGGTGGTTACAAGTGAGTATTTTCTGCCATGCCAAGATTTCTATTCCTCTTGTACAAATGGATGACAATTAAAAGATACTCCTCTATAGGTGGACCCTTGATGATTTAGATACTTGCTTAGAAAGGAAGGCACACATACCTAGACTAAAGAGTGGCTGCCCAATAACTTTGAAGTCCTTGAGCAAAAGCATGCCACAGGCATAAAAGGTCATGAAGAATTGCGTGACATGTATTTCACTGTGTGAGGGCCTAAGAACAAAGCTGCAGACAGTTGTGTATATTTGCAGATTTATGCGATTTGGAGCAAAAAGCATCACAGGAAATAAATCTATGCAAAAGCTATAAATGTTTTATTAATCCCATTACTGCACTACTTTTTGGGATTGGTTATCCTGCTCTATGGCTTGTAGACAATAAATAAATTGAGTTACAAATTGAATGTAAGATTACCTGGTGGTGGATGGTGATGAGTCCTGCTTAAACTTTGGGAGAAATCACAAGAATAACCAGCTGCTTGTTAGAATAATGTGCGAGAGAAATTAGTCTCTTTCCTTCATTTATTTTATAAGTACGGTTTAAATGAAACAACCGCATTATATATAGCTGGACGGCAAGGTCTTCCCTTGTGTCTTCTTTTTAGTGGCCCACAACAACAATCAACACAAATCAGATAAGTGCTTATGAAGCCAAATAACACAACTGATAACTATTTGGGACTAAACTGATATAACCCAAACATTTTGACCTCTAACTAATCAGAGTTTTCCAAAAAGAAAATACTGATTACTTTAGTCCACATATGATAATCTATCAATCTGTGAAATTCCCCTGCAAAATACAAATGATCCTACACTCACTCTTGGCTATTTTATGGATAAGATCCTTTAAAGTGCAGGGTACACTTGAACAGTAAAAAGCAGTGCTGATAAATGGTTTACACATGGATAAGAAAATTGGGGTTTGTCAATTTATTTTTGAACTTCTTGTCAATGGTTACCACTTGCACTTTATATTTATAACTGCACTACCTGAACTTTAGAGCATCAAAACATAGGTATTGAACATTGCTTTTGCTTCATCACTTCCAAAATTTATATCAGTAAATCAATGATTCTTCACAAATTTGGTAGGTACTAAGTAATGACAAAACTGAACGGACATATTAGCAATGTAACGTACAGAACACTGGCATGATTAAAGTACAGACATGTAAAACCTCAATGAATAGAAATTGACTTGTACTCTTTGACTGTGTTTGTGATAGCTTGTTCCACTGGAAGTCTTTCCATACTTGAAGCCCCATAAAACCCATGAACTCCCTTGGTTCTCTTCAATATAAATTCTGCCTCTTTTGGACCAGATATTGGACCTGCATATTCCAGTACATTATTCTGAAATGGGGCTAAAAGTTGGCAAACACAAACCACAACTACATTAAGAACAGTAAGCAGGGAATGTGGTGAGGTTCAACAACTATATCAAAACTGGTGCTATTTGCCAAAAGTTACAAGGAAAAATTCCCTGCAAACTAGAAATTAAGCACACAAAGTAACAACACAACCATTTAACTGGCTAAGACGATATGGCTCATATCCACTACCACTACCACAAAATAATTTACTATTGACAATCAACAAATGCAATCACTGATCTCAATGGATCTCACACAACCAAAATCAACACAGTCAAGTAACAACTCTCACTAAAGAATAATCCAAGACCATTCCATAAAATTTTTCCACTGGATGTCGCATTCTTCATTGAACTCTTTTTGAGCAGAGCGCATTGGTGCTCTGAACAAACATTATAACTTTTGAGTCCAATCTCTATTTTTTTTTGCTCAAAGCCTTCTCATTCCTTTTTTCTAAAACCCTTCCTCACCTAGTACCAACTTCAAGTCTTACAAAAGAATAACAATCGACTAGTGATAGTGAATACTTAATTTACTATTTAGTATATCAAATACACAATCAAAAGGGCTTCAAGGTGATTGCATACCTCCATGGCACAGCACGATGGCACTGGGATTAATCCTATGTGCTGCATCTGCAATAGCTTGAACACGGACTACACTTTCTTCAAGTGAAACAGCGGTTTTTGCACCTATAGAGCCTGTTGTAGTTAGACCCATATGGGCCACTATAATATCAGCACCAACTTTAGCCATTTCAATAGCTTCATGTTGATTGAATGCATATGGGGTTGTCAAGAGACCCATTTTATGGGCTTTCTGGATCATTTCAACTTCCAAGCTGATAATTAAATAGGAAAATGAAACAAAGGTGTAAGAGGTGTAACAGGCCAATTAATGTGATATAATGAGAAATTATTTTCCTAATACCTACCTATAGCCCATTCCCGTTTCTTCAAGATTTTGTCTAAAATTACCATCAAATAGCCCAACAGTTGGAAAATTTTGTACCCCAGAGAATCCAGTAGACTCCACCTGTTTAAGGAAATAATCCATTTGACGGAAGGGATCAGTTGCACATACACCAGCAAGAACTGGTACCTTCTTTACCACCTGAAAACAAAATATCAACGTTAGACAGAATAAAAGAGAAAGGGATCCAGTGCTACCTTTACAAGGGGATTTTCTTATTACATAAAATTACTAATTTATTACCCAAGACAGGAATTGAAGGTTTCCTGACCTCAAAAATTAGTATTTTTCACTTTCTTAATTGTCATTAACAAACTCTTCAAAAAACTTAAGCTATTAGGTTAAAGTACATTAATGGCCTTTTACATGACATTTCTAACACACCTCCCCTTACAAGAGTATTTTAGGCTTGAAGTGTGGACAAGCACAGGCAGACCTTCCTTGTATTGATACTCTAGACCACTTGGCCATAGAGGTTCTGATACAAAACAACTATCCAAAAGGATATTTACTATAATTTATGGCACATAAATGGTCTTTTAGATTACATTTCTAACATCAACTTTCAGGCCAACAGATGACAAGCTTAGCATTGATAATCTTCCAAGTGTATATGAAAACCAGAGAAGTCAAACAACAAAGTCTAAGAATTTATTCACCTAAAGGGATAATTAAACTTTTGGAATCAAGACAATTACAAGTATGTTGTGATGGTCCAGACCCAAATTGCTTTCTGCTTTAGCCATTGGACCTTTACCCCCAACAGCCCACTGTTCTCCTTCATCTCTTCAACACCCCTTGGGATGTATGTAGTATATTTTTTTTCTTTTAAATGTTTTCCAACTTAAAGACTACGGATAAATTTTGTAGACATTTCATTGTTTAGTTTGTCCACTTGTCAACTATATTAAACAAGAATCTTGAAATTTTTGTATGTTTAAATTAGGAAGAATGTGAAAAAACAGGCATTGGAAGTGAAAACAACTTGAATAGATGCTAGCAGTTGAACAGTATTTTTGAAGTCTCTTAGAAGTAGAAGAAGTAAACAAATAAAGGCATACTGGCAAAACTTCATTGGCCATGTCAAGCACAACAGCATTAGCATCAGCAAAAGGTAATAATCCTGCTAATGAACCTCTCCCAGCCATTCGGAAGCGCCCTGAGTTGTACAATACTATTAGATCAACCCCTCCAACTTCTTCAAACTTGGCAGATATGCCCGTCCCAGCACCAGCTCCTATTATAGGAATTCCTTTATCTATATGATGTTTCAGTTGCTGCAATATAAGCTGTGTTTTCTCCAATGTTTCTGCAAGCAGAAATGAAAACATTACTTGCATGGTCAAACATGAAGAAGGATTTCTACCAAAAAGTTAATTCAAGAAAGCATTTTATTTCAGCCAATTGAATGGTAGTTTATCACAAAAAGAAGTTATTAGAATTGAATAAATGCTTTTCAGGCCAACACAAACTATCACAGGAAAAAAGGTAAACCACAAATAATGTGGAAAAAAATTGTAAAATTATTCTTTATTGCAAAATACTTGTGAACAAGAAAAACATAATACAAATTTGAATGAGATGAGAACCTGGTCTTGCATCTGGGAATTCACTTGGTGTATAGACAATGGTCCCAAAGCTTGATGCATTTGAAACATTATCCTCATGAAAGTGTTCAGCAGATTCAGGACTGGTTATTTGTCGATGAGTAGAATCTTTACTAGTTTTCTCATTAATCTCTAAAAATGCATCAACCAATGCATTTGCAAACTCAAGGTCGTTAATATGATAAGGATACATCTTTACCTGAAAAATAGACAACTCTTTACTAAATCCTCACACCAAGAAATAAAATTCAAGCAAAATCGAGGCTTATAATTATGGTAAATAATATTGTTGAAGATGAACGCAAAATCATGCACATATCAATCAAAATAATCCGATTCTGATTTGTACAGCTCCTTAGAATTTAATGTAAAAAGAATATTCAATTATTGTGAGAATTATTTCCTTGATTTTTAAGGCTAGATTAGTGCAGACATTTATTCCTTCTATATTCTATTTATAACGCTTTTGTATCCTAGCTTAAAAGCAGAGAAATATACATTATATTTACAAAAATACCATTGACAATTATAGAACCTGTCGATCATCGTTAGTTGGAATAAGCCTTTGTAATTCATGTAGAAGAGCACCCGTTGCCTCTGGATCGTAAAATGGCTTCCCATGCGAATCTAAAGCAGATATACCCTTTTCTGGAAGGCAAACACAAATCCTACATGATGAATTTTTCAGTTTATTTGCAATGAACTCAGCACATTTTCTGTTCTCTTCTACTGTTGTTCGCATGAGTGAAACCTAGAAAGAAAAATAATTGATTTATTATGCTAGCATAAATAATAAGTTCAGCCATTTAAACACATGTCAAACATCTTCAATTTCAGTCCATGATCAAATGCATTATGAATGGTTAAGAACTAGATCAAACTACATTGCTTTGGTAGTAGTCATAGGATAGCAGGAAATATGATTATGTGCCTAATTTCAAGCAGAAAATGACCGACAATACCTTCTGTAGGAACTTAAAGCCATCACAATATGACTAGTTTTCCAGCAAAGATCAAAACAAAAAACACCCAAATTAAATAGTCTAGTCACCTGTTTATTATGTTCATATATATTTCTCTGCTGAAACTTCAGTGGTATGGTATCTTTTGCTCCAAAGTTTACCATGTCTAATGCTCCCACACTCAGGACTAAGGGGACTTTCTTCTCAATAATGGTATCAAAGCGAGAGCTGTCACAGGCCATTACACCTCCGACTATGTAGTCTGCTACCTCTGTTGTTGTGATGTCAAAAACACCCTAGGCAAAAAAAGGACGGGAATATGAGTGAACAACACAAATAGTGGCAGCAATACATAAAGAAGAATCTGAAATAGAACAAACAGACTAAAGTCACTTGGAAAAGTTTATCCCAATTCACTTGATGGATGACACAATTATGTGAAAGAATGTTAAGAGTCTTTCCCAAAATGGTATATATATATATATAGCTAAAACTTTGAAATACTGAGTTTAATAAATAATCCATGGTCTTTAGTTATGGTTGGCAAGTGAGTGAGTAAAATAGAAGTTTGTACCCTGGAATATTTAATATTCTCAGGAAAGTCAGGCTCAGGGGTTTAGCCATGACAATTATACAGTTAGCCCAAAGGCCTCTCCTCTCGATGTATATAACGCAAACCTGATACATTGCAAGCTACAATCATGCAAGGACCAGAACAACCAAAAACTCACCTGTCACATCCATAAGCTGCACTTATACAATAAAAAAGAAATTTTTATATTAAATTGTCTCAAACACGAATAACCATGCTTGGAGAAAAGGGTTTTGACCATGGCAGCATGCAACTCACAAAACTCAAATAAGCTTCAACACTCAACAGAAAATACAGTACTGGGCAGTTGTATTCTAAATTCATAAAATGATTGAAGCAAAATTGTCAATACAACAAACTTCTTATGTTAAGCTTTCAAAGAAGTGAACCTCCAATACTTTTGAAACACAATATCAGCTAAACTTGTCATGATTGTGTGTGTTTAGAAACACATTTGTACCTCTAGAATCACATTAAAGAAATGCACACGTACTTTTATTATTGTGCCAATATATTTGATGGGTTAGAATCGGAATTGGTTTTGCATCTAAACTTATGTTTGAGTTGATAAATTATACCTTCTGTATTAAGTTGAAAAGTTTAAGAGAGAAGTTTCCGAACTTAAATTAAATTACCTTAAACCTACTTCAAAGTAAAATAAATTCTACAAAATCGTGTTCCTTTAAACTCAAGTTTTCAAACACTCACCAAACACACACTGAATGCACATAGATTTAGCTGTCTCAGATACCTGTATAAACCCCTCTCTAACCAAATTCTCCATAGCCCTGCCACCAACCCCAGTTGCATGGAAAACCAGGGTCTCATAACCTTCTTCATGCAATCTATCTTTGACAGCATTAACACAAGGAGTAGTAACCCCAAACATAGTTATACCAACTGTAGGCTTATCTTCAATGCAAGAAGAATCCTTTAAGCTGTGAACCCTTCCAACAACCATCCCAGCAAAAGCAGCCGCAGCATTGGACAGAATGAGCCTGCTAACACTGTTGATGCCAGCAATGTCCACAATTGACGGGAACAACACCAAATCCGAGGTTCCAACATAGGGTTCAGTTTGACCGCTGGCCACAGTCGACACGATTACCTTCGGGATCCCAATTGGGAGAGACCTGAAGGGAGAGGACAACAGGGATGTCCCTCCACTACCCCCAACACCAATAACACCAACAAGACACCGATCCTCATGAGACTTCTTCAAGAACTGCTCAAGTGCTTGGCTCATCACAGCCACGGCTTTGCCTCTGTCTTCTGGGAGAAGCAACGCCTCGTTTGATCCACAAGTGTAGCAAGAGATAACATCCTTCCTTGAAACAAACGTGAAATCTTGCAAACTTTCTGTCTCCTCAGAACCAGCAGAGACATCAACCACCACCACCTCTACCTGCCACTCACTTCCATCAGTTAAATAAACATTGATTACAACTAGTCAAACTGCAAATGTATTTTAGAATCATAATATATTATGTGCTCCTCAAGTGACAATTTATATTAAAATCTATACAAGTTCAACTCGAAACTTTTAATTTACTAATTATAACTTAGTACACAGTTTCATCCTGAAGCACTAATTGAAATTTGTAGATCAAAGAAAAATAAGAAAAGACTCCGAGGATCAAATTATATACGCATCAAATGCAATGGCGATGGTTGTTATGAGAATTGAATAATTAAGAGTACCTTGGTGGAGGAGAAGTGATGGAGATGGGAACGAAGTGAATCGGAGAGGAATCGGAGTTCGTGGAGCTTGGTGTCGAGGGTTCCGACGCAGAAAACACGAAGAGTTGTGGAATGGTTGTGGTGTGCCATCCCGGGGTGTCAAGGGAAGGACCGAAAGAACGTCACTCTTCTGGGGTGGGTTTGGACATATATCAGTATTAGCATTGACTGGTTTTTTCAAGCCAAAGATGATGATGCTATCTTTCCAAACATCATCGCATTTCGCGGGGTAGTTGGCTTCACTTCGCTGTCTCTGACTCGGACTCAGTCTCAGTGCAGTATTTTTCACTGATATTTTCTCCCGTGGCTTACATTGTATTTTCCATAATACCGTATGGTTAAATTAAAGAGTTTTGTGATAAGCGGGACAGATGTTACAGTTGACTAATAGCCAAAAAAAAAATGTTACAGTTGACTTTAAACATTAAAAAAATTATTAAATTTTATACCTACAAAAGTACTCCATTACTACTTACCAGTTGACTTGACTCATTATATTAAAGAGAAAAATTATAATATTTTTAAATATTTTCTTTTGATGAATGCTTGTAGGAGTATATTAAAAGCAACACATAATGAACTACTACCAAGGACAACAAAAAAGTAATCTAATAGCACCTTAGGCCCATTGAATCTTTTGGAAAAAAGATTGATTCTAGTGAGAGATAGGTGTAAGAAAATCCTTAAACATCTACTCGATTAGGAGGATTTTGTTCATTGATAAATATATTTTTATTAGTAATTTCTTTAAGATTTTTCATATTAGTTGTTATGAATTCAGTTATTTTGATGTTGTTTTGTCACCTAATGATTAGATCTGTTATTTAATTTTGTTAATATGCATCTTTTCCTTTGTACATATGCACTATTATAGGAAAGAATAGAATGAATGAGAAGACAAGAAGAATTATTTAGAAAATATACTTCTCCTTTAATTTCTGGAGGTACCTTTCATGACCTCTAAAGCAAGAAATCATTATACACTTAAAGTCACCCTTATCATCTTGGTGTTTTCATTGCTGTCTCGCTCATGGCAAATAATATACATTCCTAGGCTACCATTACCTGCTTAGAGGAAGCCATCACCAATTTGACCCAAAAACAGAATACTCGTACCACCACCTGAAACACATTCACCCCAAGCTTAATGTTATTATCGCTTGCTTGGCTTCCTTTAAACACAACCCTTCTCGTATAATGACGAAACCCTTCCTCGCTTCCCTCTTTCAAAGGACCTAAAGACCAGGGTACCTTGAAACACTTTTTGAAACTCGAAGTTCTACGTTTTGATGGACATGACACTATGGGCTGGATCTTTAAGATCTCTTAGTTCTTTGATTACCATTGTACTCTAGAGGATGAATGCATCCAAGCCACTTCCTTCTACCCTGATGGCCTTGCTCTTAATTGGTTTCAATGGATGTTTCGCAATGGGCAAATATCTTCTTGGTCTGGCTTCTTGCATGCATTGCAAATGAGTTTCACCCCATCTTACTATAATGATCCTCAAAGTGCCCTCTTCAAACTCACTCAATATGGTACAATTAATTCCTACTTATCTAAATTTGAGAGTCTAGCTAATTGCATTGTTAGCTTTCCTACATCTTTTCTCTTAAGTTGTTTCATTTCTAGCTTATCCCTAAACATACAAAGTGAGGTTCAAGCCTTACAGCCCCTATCACTAGTTCAAGATGTTGCCCATGCTAAATTAAAGGAGGATAAACTCAATGATGCGCGACGTGCCTTGCATCTTAAGTCCAACAATATGCCCTTCTCTATTCCCCCACTTAGATCCATCCAACCCAACCCTCCTCTCCTTCCATCTCCTCTTCAGACCAGCTTTAAACAATTAGCCCATGCTAAGATGGCAGCCCACCATGAGATGGGTTTTTGTTATCATTGCGATTAACGCTATGGTCTTAATCACAAATGCAAGTATCGTTTTTTCTTACTCATTGCTTATGAGGTTGACGATTCTAACCTAGAGGCCTCACTTTCACTTGTACTGGTGATATCAGCTCCAGTTTATTAGGATCTATATGGGTCATCTATAGCCCAAATTAGTTTTAGTGCCTTGTCGGGTCAACTAGCTCCGGACACATTATGAGTCCATAGTCATGTTAATGGACAACAAGTAATTATTTTGGTTGATGGAGGGAAATACCCGTGATTTCAACAAAGATAAAATAGTTCGCTTTCTCAATCTCATAGCCCAACCCACTAAGTTTTTAAACGTAATGGTAGGTAATGGAAGTGAATTATCATGTACCCAAGTGTGCAAAGGTATGCAGATGCTCATTTAGGGCCACTTTTTTTTTTATAGGGGACCTCTATATCATGCCTATCGAATGTGCAAATCTAGTCTTAAGGGTTGAATGGTTAAAGGACCTTGGCCCAATCATGCAGATTATAGCCTATTAACCATGAAGTATAGAAAAGATGACCAACTAATTAAGTTCCAAGGGAAATCTAATTTAAGTCGACAAGAAATGACACATCAGCAAGTCAAATGTCTCATTCCTACTAATAGGGCAACTACTTATTTTCACATTCACATGGGCCCAATCCCAAACAACCAGAAAGGATCATTGCATTCCTTTTATTGCCTTTTGAGCTTCGTCTTTTGCTTGATCATTATTCTTACTTGTTTTATACTTCCACTACCTTATCACCCCCACGACTAACAGATCATTTTATCCATCTACTAACATCAAAACTGTAAATGTAAAACCATATCGATACTCGCACTTCCAAAAATAAGAAATTGAAAGACAAGTTGATGAGATGTTAAGGAATGAATTCATTTGATCTAGTCGTAGTCCATTTTCCTCTCCTATTCTATTAGTAAAAAAAATTGGTATCTAATACTTCCATATTGATTATTGCGCCCTCAATGCCATAATGATTAAAGATTGATTTTCTATTCTAACTATTGATGAACTTCTAGATAAATTAGGGCAAGCTAGACAATTTTCCAAATTAGATCCTGCAGAAGGCTTCCATCAGATTTGAATGAAAGCAAATGATATCTCCAACACAATTTTCCACACTCATAAGGGGCACTATGAGTGCACAACATGTCAAGAATGAAGTAAATTCATACAAAATAACAAAATTAACAATTCATACAAAATACAAAATTAACAAATAACAAAAATAGGAGTGTTACACAACATGCTAAGAATGAAGTAAATTCTTGTTGGAAAAGGGTAAATATAGTATGTGTGTAAATTTGTTCCATTTGTATCAAGATGGGAAACATCTCATATCTTAACATTGGTAGCTTATGTCAAGACTTATACTTATAAATTAGTTCGTTATAACGTTTGTCTTCAACTACACGTTCAAAGTAATAAAAGAATTATTTAATGCTAACACCAGGTTTCATAGAAGCTTTAAAATCATAATTTAAACTTTCAGAGAGTTGAGTACTCTGCATCCTGAGGGTGACAACTTCTTTCATGTAACATGATGTTCATTTTTACTTTATGGCATAAAGTGAGTTCATCCAATTATTGTCATAGACATTGTATTCTTGAACGATGTTGGTTCAAGCTTTCTCAAAATCAGTGAAGGTTTCAAAATCATACATGCATTTTTTCAATCTCTCAAAAAATGACTTTCACCATTCATCAAATTACCAAGGTGTTTGATCCCATTTTGCATCAAATGCCATGTGCACAAAGAATGATATGTCTTCGCCATGACTTTAATGAGGGCTTTAGCCATGGCTTGATCTTGGTCAGTAAATAGTTAATGGTTTTTTGTGATTATGTGCTTCTAAAATATTTTAAACAACCATTTAAATGAATCAACAGTTTCATAGTATAATAAAGCTCCACCAAATATCACAATAGTTCTATAATGGTTAAAACCTGTGAACATTGCAAGAGGTCTATTTGCACGATTAGTGCAATATGTAGTGTGCAAATAAACTACACCACTAAAATATGTAGTCTAAAATCATCTTTGCGTCAGCCCAAAATATATTTGTAATTTGTTCATCAACATCCATCTGGTATGCATGAAAAAATGATGGATTCTCTAACAACTATTGCTGAAAATATTCCATCACACAATCAACTTCTCCATAAACCATACTTCTTTGTCTTCTTGCCCTCAAGTAATTTTTTGCATCCAATTGAGTATATCTGACATTAGCTCTATTACTCGCAAGTGTGCTTAGAGTTGAAATGAAGACTTTTGTTGCAAACCAGATTCTTGAGCTATTTCAATCTCATGAGCTTGAACTTTACTTATCTTACGATGAGAAGCAAGCATATGAGTAGTCTCCTAAAGTTGCAAAGGATGATTATGATCTTCTACAAACTCATGATATAAATTTTTCATTATTTCCCAAAGACACTCCAATTTTCGTGTAATAATTTGTTCTTGTCTCAGCTCTATGTTTATCCACTGGACAATCTTATTTCTTTTCTTTTCGAAGATCTTCTTTACAATAAATGTATCTGCAAGAAGTAATAGTACCATCTTCTTTTCTCTTATTAAAATACTGCTTTCTAACTCCAAATCTGATACTCCTACTATATTTAGTTCAAAATTTTCATGCTTGTTCTACACTTTTAAACTCTAATCCAACTTCTGCCTTCCATCCCACACTGTTTGTAGTCATGTTTTCCAACTAAAACAAAAAGAGAAAATTTTTGCTTGAACATCTAATACATTCCTTCATTTAGATATAGCAAATGGAAAAGACATTATTGTTAAAATGAAAAATGAAAAATGATACCTGACAAGGGAGATGGTTCCATGTTGAAATAATCTTGGTCTATCAATGCCAATAAAGCTCCAAGTTAGTGTATATTCATGAAAATTTGTTTTGTTTAAGTCTCTAAGTTGAACCATTCAAATAGTTTTTGAAGAGATCATTAGAAGGATTTAATGAATCTTTTCTTCAATCTTACACCACATTTATGAAGGATTCGCGCCAAAATGACGTTAATTTTGAACAAATCCTACTTAAGCGAAGGTTGTAATTTTTAAGCGCACATGCAATGCTTAAGCGTGTATTCGCTTAAGCATGGTAAATCTGCTTAAAGGATGAAGGGCTTAAGCAACTAGTTAATAGCTTAAGTGAGGGACCTCAGGAATTTACTTGCACAACATTTAAAAAGTCACTTAAGTGAGGTGAACCTGCTTAAGTGATTGTGACGACGCAGCCCAAATTTAAACCATCTCTCCCATTTCATTCCACCCTTTACATTTGAAATATTTCAAACCCTAAAGCAATATCCCTAAACCCTATACGTTTGGTATTTAAACTGCTTCCCCATTGCAACAAAGCTTTCC